GGTCAGCAGCGACTGGCAGCCCCGCCTGGGGGACGCCCCGCTGTCTCTGATGGAGGGGCGCCAGCGGGGGCCACGACGAGGCCTGGCGCGGTGCCCCAGATGCACGGGGTGCCCCCGGGGGTCCCCTCCGCCCTCCACGGCAGGCCCCGCCCCGGCCCCTCCGCCTCCTGGCCCCGCAGCCCGTTCGTTCGTTATTCACCGTCTGGGCAGCGCCCGAGCAGCGAGGGGCGGGGCGCTCCCCAGGGGCTGCCCGGAGGCCAGGGAGCCATGCGAGAGCACCGGGGCATCTGAAGGGTATGGAAGCTTCGTGGGCTTGGCAGGCTTTCTGGGATCTGAGGCGAGGAAGGGTTGTGGGGGGAGAGGGTTTTCGGGGGGAATGTCCCTCCAGGATATAGATTTGGAGGTGGCTTTGAGGGAAGGGAAGGGAAAGGGGGTGGGGAGGAGAAGTCCCCCACTAGGGGGAAGCCCAAGGAATCCAGGGAAGGGAAGGAGGGACAGGGCAGTGTTTCTGGGGAGGAGGCCCGGGTCGAGCAGGGCATCAAGAGAGACTCCAGCCTGTCTCTGGCTCAGCCCTGGCCTTCTGGGCATCTGGCCTCAAGGCTTGCTGATACAGGGAGAAGCTGGGGTCAGGAGCTAAACACACAAAGGAAGAACCCGTCAGTGCCTGATGTCACCCCACCCGGTCCTTGGGGCCCAGCCTCAGCGGAAGGAGGTTGGCCTCTGCCCTCACTGACCAAGCCCTGACCTCACGCCCTGGAGTGTCCAGAAGCCCTTTTCCCTGTCTCCCTAATCTCTCCCCATCCGCCCCCACCACACCCCCCCAACATCCTTCCTGTCCGTCTTCTCACACTTTGCATCCGCCTCCAGAGGCGTTCCACACCCATTCAGTCCCATAGCCTGAGCCATTTCACCCTAACTTTACCCAACTCCTACGCGTCCATCAAAACCCTGCCTCTAAAGCCCCTCCGTGTGAAGCCTTCGCTGAGCTGGCCCCTTCCCACCCCAACTCCTCTTCAAGTGTCATACTAAATCTAGCCCACAGAGGGCTGGAACTGGTGGACGCTCAAGCACGCCGAGGCGGAGAAAGAACTGGGCAGACCCACCTCCAGCTTCCTGAGCTCCAAGCTGGGCCATAGGAAGCCACCGCAGGGTTTAGGGGAGCACAGGAGGTGAGGAGAGGGAGACCCTGAATGAGATGGGTGGACACGGTGGCTGGAACATAAGCACCGAGAGGTCCCGGAGAGTCGAAACTGGCTCAATGGCACCTGACCAGCACCAGCAGCACCCAGGGTGAGCTGGGAAGGCACCCTGTGGGAGCTGGGGCTTTGTGGGGTGCCCTTGGTGTTCCCCCAGACCAGAAATGGCAAGTACAAGAACTGTAGAGGCCGAGGAGGGTGGCAGGCTGCAGGATCAGACATGGGGGGGAGGCGCTGGGGCCCGGCCCCCAGATGGTGGGGTTAGTCCAGCCCACCCACTTCCTGGGCCCTGGGCCCTGTGAAAACTGGGGCAGCATCAGTGCTGGGAATCTAAGCAAATTTAAGCTCAGACTTGCTGCACCCAGGGAAGCAGAGGGGACAGAGACCCATTTTTGATGTAGGCAAACTGAGACCCACACGGAGGAAATGACAGGTGGGCGGGATTTGAAGGTGGGCTCAGCCCCCATCTCTGTGGGGAGCCGGTGGCTGGCATCTCCGGGTCTGGGTACCCGCCCCACTCCCATGCTGCCTCTGGAGGGACTGAGACTGGGGGGTGGGGGGGAGGCAGATGGTGGGAACAAAAGCCAGGCTCAAGACGTGCCCCCTGCGGCTGTGGTTTCCGGGAGCTGGGAAGGAGAGGTTATTCTTAGCAGACACAGTTAAGGGCAGGAAGTAGCAGGGATGGGGTTGGAGGCAGTTTCCGGGACACCATGTGAGCTTCAGGCTGGAGCAGTGTGCCCGCCTGAACCTCCAGCCAACCCGGGGTCTCCCTGACTCCCAGCTCAGTGGCCTTGCCCTGCTCACGCACCCTCTCTGGCTCCACCGTGCCCCTGGGAGAGTCAGATGTAGGCTTGACATTTGGTGCCTCTGTGGCCACAACTCTTCGTTAGCTCAGCTGCCCTTACTCCCAAGAGCCTTCACCCCTTCTGGGGTTCCCCTGATGGAGTGCACCCTGTCCCTGCCCTGTTGTCCGCTCCACCCAGCTTCCTTCCAGGCTGTAGGTGCCCTACCATTGAGACAACTGGTGCACCGCGGGTACACACCCCCTGGCCTGAACGGCCATCCTTTTTTTTTTTTTTGGCCAGGGGTGGGGGTATCAAAGAGGATCCTAGGTGCAGGCAGGGAATCAGGCTGATTCAGGCAGTGGCCTGAGAGGAGACTGTTTGCCCAGCTATAAAGCACACACACCAATAACATGTTATATGAGAATGGAACAGGGCGTAGCCCCTTTAAGTGGCCCCACCAGGCTTGAAGTCTGCATGTTATGCACTTACTCCCAGGGGCCTGCCCTGCACAATGACTGGTGAAGAAGATTGGGAATCAATTGGCAGGGGCTGCCTGGAGGATATTCTGAGGAATTGAATGCTTTGGCCACTCTGTGATTTATTTGTGATGTCTGCCATGGATTCAGAAAGGTTTGGAGAGGGTGTGAGTGCTGCCACATTGGATGTCCCTTGTTCTGGACCCAGTCGGTTGGGGTGGGTCAGGTCTGCAGTGTCACGCTTTCTCCCACTCCTGTCATTGAGGTGTGCTCAGCTGAGGCAAGGAGGGGTCCCCTGATGAGCTGGGAGTGCATGGGGCTGGCATCACGCCTGGCCTGCTCCAGGGCCTTCCAGCCTCAGCACTATGGACTTTGGGGGTTGGATCTCTCTGGGGGGGCATGGGGGAGACAAGGAGTGGGGACATGTTCAAAGCCCATGCCTTAGCCCTCATCCCAGATTTAATCTCCAGGTTGTCCCAAAGCTGCAGGGAGCCGCCAAGGGTCCTTGAGCAGGGCAGGAATATATATGAACAGAACTAGTGGGGGCTGGAGGCAAACCCAAGTCCTGGGGCCCCAGGGTGGTTGCCTCCCCCCCCCCAACCTTCCCACCCCAGCCAGCACTGCTGGTCCCAGGCCAGAAACTTCTCTGGGGTGGGGTTGTTAGGGGCACTACGGGCTACTGAGCAGCATTTCTGCCCTCCACCTACTCGGTGGCAATAGCACCCCACCCCCAGCCGTGACACCCACAAATGTCTCCGGCCGGCATCTATACTGCAAAATGGGGGTGACGAGCTTGTCCTCAAGTGGCCGTGCTGCCCCCCTTGCATCAGTATTACCAGCTGGAGAATGGGATCAGCCCCTGCCGGATAGGAGACGAGGGAGACAGTTATGTATGACGGGGGGGCGGCCAAGCGGGAAGCTTGTGGTTAAAAACCATCGACCCAGTGCTATCCGCTGTCCTGACACGCCAGATGTTGAGGGGACACCGAGGCCAGGCTGCAAGCAAACTGTCCTGGCTCTGCACGACCCTCCCTTTACTCTAAAATAGAACATTTATTAAGAAACGGGAAGTTGGCGGTATTTTTTGTTTTAACCTAAAAATGCTTTGAAGGGCAGATGACATTTCCTGACAAGGTGTGGTGTGGGGGTGGGGTGGGTGGGGTTGTGACCACCTGCAGGGAGTGGCTGTTTCCAGAGTTTCAACCTTCTGAGAAACGTAGATGTGGTGGCGTTTCTTGGCAGCTGCTCGAGTGGGGGAGTGGATGCCCCCATGGGCTCTGATCCAGTCTCTGCTGCCCACATTCTGGGTAGTCCCCATGTGCCTGGTGGCTGTGGGGGTGGGGTGTTCTGGGTCCTGAGTGGCAGGCGATGTGTGGTCCCAGCTCGGGTTCGTGGTGGGCCATCAGTGGACAACTCTGCCAAGGAAGGGCTCTCCAAAATGGGGCCCCCTGTGCAGTGCCCGGGATGTGACAGGAGAGCCTGCTTTGGTGCCCTCAGGGCACATGGGAGGTGCTGTCTGGCTCCACAGGCCAAGGGGCTCAGGGCATAGCCCGGCCTCACTCAGCCCGGCTCTAGGCTGGGACCGGTCAGCTGTCTCCAGTCTCCCCTGGCCCAGGTGCATTTCAGAGAGGGTGACTGAGGCAAGGAGCAAGGAGGCGCAGCCTCAGCATGACATGGCCCCAGGGAAATGCCACCAGGGCCTCCCTGGCGCCTCTGCCTGGGTCCCCAGTGGGCCCATGGGTAGGGCAGGCCAGCAGTGCCCCAGAACCCTATTTGGGTCCAGGGGGCAGAGAGAGATTGGGGGCAGGCCAGCAGCATCCCCCATCCCTTTGTCCAAGTGCAAGGGAGGGGCAGGCCAGCGGCATCCCTCCCTCCTTCCTGTCCCGGTGTCCTGCATGGCACGTGGGCCTCACCGCCGGTAGCGGTAGCGTTTGAAATGGAACCAGAGCTGGAAGATGCCGTTGGCGAACTGGCAGCGGAAGCCGTGTCGGTGCGAGTACTCCCACTCGCGGCTGACGATCTTGAAGGCGATGTCCTCGTACGGTGGGCCCGCGTGGAAGCGCAGCGTGGCGAAGTCCTTGTTGTCGGTGCAGGCCTCCAGGAAGTACTCGGGCGTGGCGCGCTTGTCGATGAGGTCGGGGTAGAAGATGTTGAACTTGTAGCCCTGCACGATCTTGGGCGGCGGGTTGTCGAAGTCGTAGTGCGTCTGGTTGTACTTGTTCCACTCGAAGCCCGTGTGCACGCGGTTGAAGAAGCGCGGCTTGCGCGGCCGGTACTTGTCGGCCCACAGGTAGGCCTTGCCGGTCAGCGGCAGCTCCACGCTGAACTGCGCCTCGTCCTGCCCCATGCCCTCCTTGGCCCGCCGGAAGAAGATGTCTTCAGCGCTCTCGCTGGCGTCGCCTGCGGGGTGGTGGTGAGGGTGGGTGAGCGGTGTGGAAGAAGGGGGACCTGATGCACCTCCCGCACCGGGGGTGCACCCAGGAGCCTGAGAGGTGTGGGCCGGTAATGCGCGCGCATGCCTAGAGCCAGAGAGGCTTGGGCCGGGAAGGAGGTGTTGGGGGAGTCGGGGTCCAGTGGGGCGGAGCGCGCAGAGGCATCGGAGAGGCGTGAGCCGGGCGGGGCGCTTGCGCACCTGTGACCTGGAGCTGCTGGCGTGAGAGCAGCAGGCGCTGCAGGTCCTCGTGGGCCTCGATGACGTGGGCGTCCAGCGGCAGCTCGTGGGGGCTCAGCAGGCGGGGGCTGTAGCGGGCCGCGTCGTAGTCGTCCAGGCTCTGCTGAATCAGGTCCTCCTCCAGCAGCACGGCTGCGCCCTCCGCTGCCGCGCCCTCGCCCTCGCCCTCGCCTTCGCCTTCACCCGCGCCTGTGTCTGCACCCTCCTCCGGGCCGCCCTCCGCAGAAGGGCCGGCGGGACTGGGGGCCGGGGCTGGCTCCTCGGGCTCTGGACTGTGGGGACAAGTCTGAGTCAGGAGAGGGGCTGGGGGAGAGCAGGGTAGATGAGGGGAGGGGGGCGGGGGTACCTGCGGCTAGGCGAGGGCGGCTCGGTCTTGAGGATGGGGAAGAGGGGCCCACTCTCCACGCCCTGCTCCTGCTTGAGCTTGTACAGCTTCTGCCGCAGCACATCCTGGTGTCGTTCGCGGAGCCTGGGACACGGGGGAGGGGCGGTCAGGCCTCCACTGCCCACTCCGCGCCTCAGGACCTTCCAGGGCTGGGGAGGGGAGCAGGAGCCAGGATGGTAGGCTGTGGGGAGCGAAGGAACGTGGGCAGGGAGGCAGCGCCAAGCTACATGTTTACAGGACCCCTGCCAAGTATGCAGGGGGTGGAGGGGAAGGGGGCCAGGCGGGCGGGGCTCACCGGGCCCGTGCCATGTGCGCACGCAGCTGCTGCAGCAGGCTCTCCCAGTAGCCCATGTCCAGGTTGGGGCCCCCGGCGCGGATCTTGCCCTCGATGCCCTGGAAGATGACTTGTAGCTGGCTGTACGTCTTGCCCTTGAAGACCGACTGCACGTCTGAGCTGACAGATGCGTTGACGCCCTCGCGGCGCTCACCTGGGGGAGGGGGCGCTCAGCATGGCATCCTAGACCCTTAGCCTGGCCACCCCCCACCCAGGACCCCTGTAAGCTGAGCCCCCCCACGGCTGGATGGCTGGTGTGTTCTCAGCGGCGCCAGCCAAGCAGACATGCACCGCACCCCTCTACCCTCCATAGGTCCTATTTCAGGGGACCTCAGCAGCTGGCCTCTGGATCAGCCCCTACCCTGGTGGGCTTGCTGTGTAGCCCTGGATGGTGGCTCACGCTCTCTTGAGTGGAGAAGACACGGGGGAGGGGGGAAGAGTTGCACATGGGCGTGGGAGGGAGAAGGGCCCCCCCACCATACCCCAGAAGTGGAGAGGCAGTTGTGGTCAAGCCCCCAGTAAGGTGGGATCCAGGCTCACCCCTACACCACCAGCAGTGACAGTGAGGGACTGGGCAGTGGCACTGACAAGAGGATGTGGGGCTCTACACAGTGATTCCTAAGCTGCCCAGTGGGAGGGGGGATGCCCACCTGGGGGCGGGCGCCGTTCTCCTGCCCTGCTCTGTAATGTGCTAACATCTGTGGAGTGCCCAGACATGCAAACCTTTCCACCATTAAGTCAGAATTTCCACCCCAGCCAGAGGCAGCTCAGAAGCAAGGCTGGCAAAGGCCACAGCCTTGGAAGCTGCTGGGCACAGAGCAGTGACAGCCCCTAATGCTGCTGGAGGACGACATCAGGCTTGGTGAAGCAGGGGATCCGCGAAAGAGGGCGGCCCTCGATGCGACTGACACGGTGGGTGTCAACAATGGGCCTAGGGGCAGTGCCCAGGCCAGCGCAGGGCTGGGCAGTGTTCTGTTGTACACGGGCTCAGACCGACTCAATAACAACATGGGCTGGAAGCGTCATTGTCGGGGGTCCCAGCGCTCAGAGAGCCGCTGTCCCAGCATGCACTACGCGTTGTGCGCTTTCAGCCAATCCCATCTTCACACGCCCTCCCTGGGGCACAGGTTGCCCTGTCCTCCCTGTGCAGACAGGGCAGCTGGGCTCCGCGGAGTGACACGCCCCACAGAGGCCACTAAGCTGGGTAGCAGCCTGGACAGGAACACCCCTGCCCAAGAGCTGCCACATGCCCCTCTCGCACACAGACACCCAAGGGCAGCCCACGGGGGAGAGAGAATCAACACACTGACAGAGATAAAAGGGACCGGTTCATTTCCCCAGGAGGAAGGAAATGCCCCGACCACCCTCATGCTGATGCGCATGCCCAGGATCCTGGGAGGAGGGGGAGCGGGGATGGTCACCGCCAGGCTATGCCCCCACGCGGTGGGCTGCGGTAATGTTAGAGTGCCATTCAATGGGAGGGCGGCATTGATGCCCACGGGAGGCCGGGTGTCTGGGTGGGAACGGGGCCCTAGTAGGCTGGGGTTGATAGAGGCCAGGGGTGCTACTCCATAGCCCACAGGGCACCTCCTCCCCCAAGCCTGTGTGGGCCATGCAGGATGGTGGCCAGGGGGGCTTAGCACTAGTTCCCGCGTTAGGACACGGAGGGGGCGTAAGAATTTAAACTGTGGGTTGAAGGAGGCCAAGGGCGGTGCACAGCTGCGTGGGGCCTCCGACCGGGTACCGCCTGGTATGTCCCCAGCCTGGAGCAGCTGCCCACGTGCTGCCCCCTGGTGTTGATGAGAGGCAAGGCGCCCCCTGCCAGCCCCCCATGCAAGGGGGCCGTGTTAATGACTCATGGAGAAACAGGTCAGGTGGCATGGGGGACTTGGACATTTGCCAGAGGAGTCTGCAGGCCCTGCCCCCTGCCCAGGGACACCACGCTCACCGGGGCCCTTCCCGGAGGCCTCGAGCTTGCGGAGCTTGGAGATCTCGTCCTCGGTGATGATGGTCATGTCCCGCCAGAAGTCCACGTTCTTGCCCTGCTCCAGCTCCATGTACACCTGCGGGGGCGGAGGGCCGTAAGGGCGGGGCTGAGCACCCTCATGGGCAGGGGAGAGGCATCCAGGGGTCAACGCAGGGCTAAAGGGGGACGGGGGTGTGCTCTTTGGGAAGGCTGAGCGGGGTGGAGAGCTGTAAGTGTCTAGGCGGGGCTGCGGGGACTGGCGGGCAGGAACCTGGATGTCCTCCAGCAGGTCCTCCATGTCGGCCACGGTCAGCCCATTGAGGAAGGTGTAGGGTTCGTGCATCTCCACGGCCAGGTCGTCGTCCTCGGCGCTGATGTACTTGGCCAGCAGGTCGATGGGCTTGGCACGCCCGTCCCGGATGCGGATCTTAGAGCTGGAGGGGCAGGCGTGTCACAGCAGGGAGCCCCTCACCAGGAAGCCCAGCCCTGCCCTCACTGGCTGAATGCGGGAGTCAACAGGTGACTGTGTGTGTATACGCGTGCGTGCGCAGGTACAGCCCCAACCATGACTTGACTACCCCACCCAGCCCAGCCCGGAGCGCAGCAGGACCAGCCTCCTGCACGCCTGCCCCGCCGCTTGGCCCCGCCCCTGCCAGGCCGGCCCCGCCCCGCCACATGGCCCTGCCCCTGCCAGGCCCTTACCGCAGCTTGGCCTGCTGCAGGTGGAAGTTGTCCTCCTGCTCCTCCCACGTCTTAAAGTGCTCCGCCTCCTTCTCACGCTGCAGCATCTCCAGCTCCTGCTCCCGCATGGCCTTCTCCCGCTCCCGCTCCAGACGCAGTTGCTTCACCTGTGGGACACCCGCTGCCCTCAGTTCATGGGAACCACCGGGGTCCTGGCTGAGGGGCCAATCCTGGTCCAGGTGGGCGGAGCTCGGGATACCCAGACCTTGAAAGAACTGTGGGGGCAGGAGGGGCCCTTTCTGCCCAGAGCGGCCACTAGGTAAAACCCAAGGGCTGAGAGGCGGCGGCGTGCAGCTAACTGAAGACACTGCCTGAGCGCCTGGATCCAGCTAGTCCTGAAAGCAGACCCGCTTGGGCTTTTCTGGGCCCTAAGCCAATCTAGATGGAGCCCGGCTAACAGAGAGACCCGGCTTTCCACTCCTCTGAAGCTGACAGTCTCAGAAACGCACAGGGAGGTTCTACCCTGCCCTAGAGTCTCGCCAGGGCTCAGAAGGGACTCAATGGCCCTGCAGTAACACTGCAGGCTAGCTGTTGGGTAGCCAATCAAGCTTGATGGTTCAAACCCACTAGTGCTCTGGGGGAGGAAGACGCGGCTGCCCGCTCCCCTATAGACTGACAGCCTTGGAAACCCACTGGGGCGGTTATCCTGTGTCCTACAGGGCTGCTATCGTATGAATCGACTTGACAGTGGTGGTTTGCTTCGGCTCAAGGTGGGTGTGTGCTGGGTGGGCGCCCACCTTCTGCAGCTCCAGACGGTTGTCCTCCTGGATCCGCTTGTTCCGCTCCTTCAGCTCCTTCTCCTCCAGGTGGCCGATGCCTTTCTTCTCCAGGGCCTGCAGGACACAGCACGGAGCTTCAGCCGGGAAAGGGGGAAGGAGGGGCTGGGCAGCAGGGGCCCAGCTCTCAGAGCCCCACCCCCAGAGAGGCCTGGACCCCCAGATGGAGGATGTGGCCCAGGCAGAGCGTGTGTTCGGCTCTGGGGTAGGGGGCCTCCCTCCACTATCCTGACTCCTGCTAAGAAGCTCCCAGAGCCAGTAATACAATCCCACCCCGGGTGGTCCCTGGGCAGGGATTCGAGGAACACGCGTGGCTGCCCCAGAGGCATCTTGGTCCGGTCTATTCTCTTCCCACCACCCCCTACCCCACCCACCCAGGCCTCAGATCAGCTGAGGGAAACCCTACGGGGCACAATTCCATGCTGACCCGTAGGATCTCTGACATCCAGGCAACTTCTGTCATGCTAATGAGGTCACATAGGGGCACCCCCAAAGAGGGACCCTCCCCTAAAAGCTGACAACCTGAATCTAAAGTCCCAGCCTCCCAACCTGGGCGGTGATAAGTTCCTGTTCGCTAAATCACCCAGGGGTGACATTTCAGCTCCAGATGAAGGCGGGCTGGGGTCAGCTGACCCCCACCAGGTCTGTGGAATCAAGGGGCCACAGAAGCCCCCTGCCCTGTGGTGGGCCTGGCCTGGCCCCTCTCCAGCCCTAAGAAGGTACTTGAAAGGCTAGTCTTGTGGTGGTGGGCTACCTGAAAGAGGCAAGCTGGTCCACGTGACACGCAGCTATTGGGGACCCTAGGGACAGAGCTACCCCAGCTGGGCACCCAGGCTGACCTTGTTCCAGATGAAGGTGCCCAGGAGGTTGTTGTCGCCGAAGGGGTTGTCGGTGTTGGTGTATCCCATGTACTCCTCGCCCCAGCCCATCTTCTCCCGCTTCTTCCTCTCCTTGGCCTCCTTCTTGGCCAGCCGCCGGGCCCGCTTCTCCTCCGGTGTCTCGAAGGCCTTCATCAGCTCCTCCTGCTGCTTCCGCTCCTCCCGCAGCCTTAGCCGCTCCTGCAGGCTCTGCTGGTGGCTCCGGGACACAGCTGCCTGCCGGAGGCTGGGGAGGCGGTCAGGGGACATGGAGCTGGACGTCGAGGAGCCTGGGGACCAAGAGCGTGCTTGCCTCTGCTGGGCCCACCTGCCCCTCTGGTGCTCGTCCCCTGAGTCAGACGGGGAAGACGTGTCCCTTGAGTGCCAGCGAGGTGCCGGGCTCGGGCTCCGGCTCTTCCGCCCCTGCCGCTGCCAACGTTTCTCCTCCGAATCTGACCTGCGGGCAGCACAACAAAGGTCTCCTTAGGGCTGACGGACAGGTGTTTGTCTGGCAAAGGGGTGGTACTGAGGGCCTGCAACGGGGTTCACCATCTGGGGTCCTGACAAGAACACACAACACTCCAGCACAGACTCATGCTCCCTTAAGCATGGCCATCAAGTCGGTGCCGACTCATAGCGACCCTCCTGCGAGTTTCCAAGACTGTAACTGGTTAGAGGAGTACAAAGCCCATCATAGTAACTGGAAATCCCCTTACAGGGGAGTCGTGGGGGGAGACGGGCCAGTCAGGGTGCAGTGTACCAAGACGAAACATACAACTTTCCTCCAGTTCCTAAATGCTCCCCCACTCCCACTACCATGATCCCAATTCTACCTTACAAATCTGGCTAGACCAGAGGATGTACACTGGTACCGATAGGAACTGGAAACACAGGGAATCCAGGGCGGATGATCCCTTCAGGACCAGTGGTGGGAGTGGTGGTAACAGGAGGGTGGGGTGGAAAGGGGGAACCGATTGCAGGGATTTACATGTGGCCTCCTCCCTGGGGGACAGACAACAGGGAAGTGGGTAAAGGGAGATGTTGGACAGTGTAAGATATGACAAAACAATGATTTATAAATTATAAAGGGTTCATGATGGAGGCGGGAGCAGAGAGGGAGGGGGGAAAATGAGGGGCTGATGCCAGGGGCTTAAGTGGAGAGCAGATGTTTTGGGAATGATGAGGATAACGAATGTACAAATGTGCTTTATACAATGGATGGATGGATGGATGGATGGATGGATGGATGGATTGTGATAAGAGTTGTATGAACCCCCAATAAAATGATTTTTTTAAAAGGGAGTAGAACGCCTCAGCTATCTTTCTGGGAGCAGCTGCACACCTGGCACATCGCAGTGCAAAAATGTAACCACCACACTCCCGGGGCCCCTCGGGCGAAAACACAAGAGTACAATTTCAGAGCATGCTCACACAGAATAATGACACAGTTACCGGGGATGAAGCCGGGGAACCCGGTCAGTTTAGGGCTGGGGGGGCGCTTCTGTGGCGGTGGCATTGGGCAGAGACCCGACAAAAGTGGGCAGGGCAGGAGACGGGCCATCTGATTCTAGATAGGGGAACAGCCAGTGCAAAGGCCTGAGGGTGGATTAAATCTGGTGAGTTGGAGTAAAAGCGGGGAGGCCTGTGGTCTATGGGGCACAGGGAGGCTAGGGCTCACCCCAAGTGGTGCGATCTGTCACTTATCGTCAGCTCGCCGCCCGCTGACATCTCACCTCTGAGCAAGGGCTGTCGACTCTACCTCCAAACCCCTCTCGAATCTATCCGTTTCCTCTGCCTCTCTGAGGTCAAGGCCGGCATCATCGCTGTTGCCTGGCCAACAGTCCACCCCCTCCCCTGGTGTCATTCCACTTAGCCCTCCCAGCGCCTTCTCTAGGGGAAGCCACAGAAAGTTTTGCCAAAGTCGGCCCAGACCACAGCACTCCTCCCTCCTGTGTGTGTCATCCCCCACGACTTCCGTTTCCCTCCAAATAATGACCAGACTCCTGGACACGGTGCACAGACCCCGCGCGATCAGGTCGGTCTCCCACTACCTCTCCCCCTCGGCTCCCTCCGGGGCTCCTTGCAGACGCTGCCGCCACGGGGCCTTTGCGCCTTTTAGCGCCCAGGCACGAACGCCTCTCATTAACTCGGGGTCTCCTAGCGCCGGGGTCTCCACACGCGCTGGACCGGGCGCTGCCCGAGGGCCAGCAGCGATGCCCACCTGCGGTCCCGGCTCCGCGGCCTCCGCCTGCGTCGCCCCTCGTCGTCCCGGTGCCGCCGGTGCCGCCGGCCATGGCTCCCGCTCCGACTTCTCCGGT